AATGAGTTTACTAGGTCAGTGTGGTCAGGGCTAGGGATTATTTCAGGATGAGGAGAGAAAGTTGAAAATAAGTGGGCTCTAAAGTGATTTGCTTTCTCTAAATCAGTAATAGCTAATGATTTGTCGGGACGTTCAAGAGGAGGGATATTTTCACGTTGATTCGTTAGCTTTTTTGTTATTTTCCAGAGGGAACCGTTGTTAGGAGACGGAGTACTTAGGTATTGACTAAATTGTTCAGATCTATATTTCGCTAATCGAGTTTTAAGATCGTTTGATAGATGATTGTAGGCAGTTTTGTGTTCTGGGTATTTCGATCGTTGCCACAAGGATCGAGCACGACGTTTGGCTTTAATAAAGTTGACTAAGTATGAGAGGAGCGAGATGTGGGATTTAGATTGGTTTTTTTTTGGGGTGGTCAAGGAAGAATGAGAAACTGCATTTTGGATAGTTTTTGTTAATTTGGAGATTGCTAGGTCAATATCGAGAGGGCATTTTAAAGGAGTATTTAGGGACAAAGATTCATCTAATTTAGCTTGAAAAAGATTCCAGTCTACAGGGCCGGATGAGTGAAACGGGTTTGTAGTGGTAGAGGCAATTTTGGCGTCTAAAGTTAATAAAACAGGAGAATGATCGCTTAATAGGTGGTTAAGGTTTGTTATAAATTTGTTTAAACTGTTTGGTAACCGTGTAATAAAAAAGTCGAGAATGTCAGGGGATCTATTTGCATGTGATGGCCAGTAAGTTGGTTCATCAGGGGAGATGAATGATAATTTATGTTTTAGAATTGATGTATGGAATAGCCTGCCTCTTGTATTAGTATATCTACTGCCCCATTGAGAATGTTTGGCATTAAAATCACCACCTATTATAAGAAAATTRCCTAGGCTATGGAAAAAAGAATGAATTTTAGGTTCGAAAATGGGTTGGTTTGGAGGGAAGTAGGCTGAGGATATTGTGATGTTTTCCTTAATTACTGTTAAACTGGGTCTTTTTTAATACTATTTCAAATTCTATTAATTTTAGTTTTCGTTGATTAATTGTTTATTTATTATATATTTGTAATTCATTCATTTAATTTTACTATTTAATTACTATTATATTACTCTTTGTTTTGGGCTTAGGCCTGTACCTTGAAAATAAAATAAAATAAAAAAGTACTTATCTAATCCCAACACTGGTGACCAGCCACAATATGCAATACTATATTACAGCATATTTTCATTATTTTTTAATATTCCTGTTCTGATTTCTCCAAGTAAGTRGGAATAAGAATCTGATGAATTTAAGAACTGTGTGTAGTTCTATTCATTCTCAATTATTTATATTTGATT